TTAGAATGGAATAATAAAAAACAAATCATTCTATACAGTTGCAGAGATATGAATATGAGTTGTTGGACAGCAATTGTTGATTTTTTTAATTCTTTTATTTGGTTTTTGGATCATCAAAATAATTGTGGGAAACACTCGGAATATTCCCAGCAAAATAGCATCTTTGAATCCATATCTTCTTCTCATAAAATGAAATTTAAAGAAAGAATGGAAGCAACCATGTGGATTATTATTTAATTTTTTTTTTTTTTGGGCACTCAATAATGTAAGATGCTAATGAATTAATAAGTTAAATTAGCATAATGGAATGTTGGGTACTTTTTCATAAGTTCCAACGCCAACTATTGTTTTAATGCATTAAGGTCATGTTTGATTCACAATACTAATAGTGAGGTATTAATAATCCTATCAAATTAGTGTGGTATTAACTATCCCATCCCTACCCCATTACTAATAATCCTACAAATTTGTTGGATTAATTATCCATTGGATTAATAGTCCTAAACTAAAATGTCAAAACAAACATAGGATGATTGGGCCCACGGATTAATAATCCTAATCCCATGCTTTAATCCTTCCAATCAAACATGCCATAAAAGTACAACTTTAATTAGGCTCAACTTTAAAAGCACATATTTATTTATGAAAAATGTTTGAGGGCCATAATTTTTGTGGTCATAATGGCTCAAAACTGTCAAAACGATGTCGTTTTGGGTGTAAAACATGCCAAAACGATGTCATTTTGGCAGTTTTGAGCCATTGTGGCCACAAAAATTATGGCCCTATAGCATTATTGTTTATTTATTTACTTATTTGTTATTTTTTAAATAGGAAAGCACAAGGTTTAATATATATTTTTTTGACAATAAATTTTCTAATAAAATATATCGGAATGCAAGATAGATCTCAAAAAAGATAAAGAGAACCTCCACATAGGAAGGATACGAGTCTTCACATAAGAAGAAAAAATAAATCTTTACATAGGGAGGAGAAAACCTCCATAAGAGGAGCAAACCTATACGTAGAGATATATTATTTCAACACTAAAAGATAAAAAAAACAAAAAATAAAAAATAAAACAAAAACGATCGCCACCAAACAAATAATACCAATCACCTTTACGATTTATTCATCATCGCAATCGGTAGCTTTGGTACCTTATTCCCACCTTTACATTAGGGGTGTTTGGCAAAGGCTTTTTTTGACTTTTTAGGTTAAGATTAACAAAATGACAAAATAGATTAAAATAGTCAATAAGACAAAATGCCATATCAAACCCATTATTATTTCACTTTTTCTCTTACAAATATCATATATAATTACAAAAAAATCTAACTATCTTTCCAAACATAAAAATTTTATCCTACTAAAATAACCAAAAACCAAAATTGCCTACTAAAATAGTAACTTTCTAAACATCCCCATTATAAAATAAAATATTATAGATTTGAGGTGATTGCTTAACGTGTATAACAACGCATTTAACAATGTCAAATCTTAGTTATGAATCAGATCTGAGACAAGATCCGAAAGCTTTCTTGGTAGCAAGCAATTATGGAGGTTTTTTTGATTTTTTACGAAAAAATATGCAAAAAATAGAGAGAAAATGAAATCTTTGATTTTTTTTTTTTGTATAAATTGTTGGTTTTTTTTTTATTTTTTTAATGACTTTTTAACTTTTAAACTAAAATATTAAACGACTATTTTTTTAACTTACAACAATAAAATATTATAATTCTGTATTGTTTATTGTTCGATTCTTTGATTGATTTCCAACAATGGTTTTATTGTTTATCTGATTATTGTTTATTAATATCCTCTCAACATGCTTTGATTCTTTCATTTACAGTCAACAAAACTGTTTATTGTTGATTGCTAATATTGAGGTATTTTTATAATTTTTATTATTGTTGAGGTTTTGTGATTTTTAATTTTTTTTGTAAAATATATAGGAAATTGGTAAAGAAAAACAGTTGAATTTTGGTAGAAAATTTAATGTGGCAAGTTGGCAACAGATAACTTTAACAAACTTTAAGCCAAATTTAATTCAAGGTGTGACTTTGCCATTTTTGAGCATTCAATTTGGCTCACCATCAAAAGAGTAATTTTATGAACTCAAACCATTTTTTTTTGAGAGAGCCATTGAAGTTGCTTTGAAGGTTCAAGGCCAAACATAGAGGACAAACCTTTATCTAATTTAAAAAAATATTAGTTTAAATGAGTGATTGGACAAATGCAAGACAGTTAGAATGGAATAATAAAAAACAAATCATTCTATACAGTTGCAGAGATATGAATATGAGTTGTTGGACAGCAATTGTTGATTTTTTTAATTCTTTTATTTGGTTTTTGGATCATCAAAATAATTGTGGGAAACACTCGGAATATTCCCAGCAAAATAGCATCTTTGAATCCATATCTTCTTCTCATAAAATGAAATTTAAAGAAAGAATGGAAGCAACCATGTGGATTATTATTTAATTTTTTTTTTTTTTGGGCACTCAATAATGTAAGATGCTAATGAATTAATAAGTTAAATTAGCATAATGGAATGTTGGGTACTTTTTCATAAGTTCCAACGCCAAATATTGTTTTAATGCATTAAAAGTACAACTTTAATTAGACTCAACTTTAAAAGCACATATTTATTTATTATTTTTTAAATAGAAAAGCACAAGATTTAATATATTGTATATTTGACAATAAATTTTTCAATAAAATATATCAGAATATAAAATAGATCTCAAAAAAGATAAAGAGAACCTTCATATAAGAAGGATACGAGTTTTCACATAGGGAGAAAAAACAAATCTCTACATAGGGAGGAGAAAACCTCCATAAAAGGAGCAAATCTATACGTAGAGAGATATTATTGCAACACTAAAAGATAAAAAATAAAACAAAAAATAAAAAATAAAACAAAAACGATCACCACCAAACAAATAATACCAATCACCTTTACGATCTGTTCATCATCGCAATCGGTAGCTTTGGTACCTTATCCCCACCTCTACATTAGGGGTGTTTAGCAAAGGCTTTTTTTGGTTTTTTAGGCTAAAATCCACAAAATGACAAAATATATTAAAATAGTCAATAAGACAAAATGTCATATTAAACCCATTATTATTGCACTTTTTCTCTTACAAATATCACATCTAATTACAAAAAAATATAACTATCTTTCCAAACACAAATTTTATCCTACTAAAATAGTCAAAAACTAAAATAACCTACTAAAATAATAACTTTCTAAACACCCACATTATAAAATAAAATATTATAGATTTGAGGTGATTGCTTAACGTGTATAACAACGAATTTAACAATATCGAATCTTGGTTATGAATCAAACGTGAGACTAGATCTAAAAGCTTTCCTGATAGCAAGCAATGATGGAGACAAGAAGAGCAGTAGTAGCTAGAACGGTGATACAAATAGCAAGAGAAGAAACAGAAAGGAGAGAAAGGTTAAAAATATCACTCTCTCCCCCCTAAAGAGCAAAGAAAGATAAAGCAGCTAGGGTTTCTTAGAGTAAAAAAAAAAGAAGAGGATTTTAGAGAGAGAGAGAGAGAGAGGGCATTTTTATTTTTTATATATATGGTTTAGTATTAAGTATGACTTCTCTCTAATATAATTTTATTATATTGTGTTTGAATTGTATATTTAAATATGGTTTAAAAAAAATAAAATTTTCTCTTTTGAAATTCTTATTGCACTGAGTTCAAATGGTGTAAGATTCCCCTCAACAGGTCATGACCAAAATTTTTCAATAAATATTCGTCTTATTCTCCTTGGTTTATTTTTGTTATAGTGAATTTTTAAGTACAATTATATCAATTATTTTAATTTTTTAGGTTAATTTAAACTAGATAACTATAAAAATTAAAAATAAAATAAACAATTCATGTAAAAAAAACCAAATTATAAAAAATTATAAAAGCTTGCTCTTTTTATTATTTTCAAATGTTCTTCATTTAAATTTTGTTTTTTTAAAAATCATCCGGTCTAAACAAATTTAAAAACTACAATATTTGGACTAAAGTTGAATTTATTTTATTTTTCACTAAAGACAAAATAATTTACAAAATAGTCCAACTTATAAAATGTAGCAAAAAGAAGTAACAATAAAAAATCAAAAATCATATAATAATAACTAATATGATTAAAAAGAAAGGAGAATGTCATTTACTAAAAAATGACAAAATTAATTACAAATCAATGAAGTGCAAGTGAAGACTTGTCCCAACACAAGTGAGAGTTATGTCCCAAGTGAAGAGTTCTCATTTGCACTTTACTAATTAGCAAAAAAATTTGTTATTTTTAATTGATATGTTTCATTAAATATTAAATTTTATAGAGAAAATACTAGAGAAATAAAGAATCATAAAAGTAATTGCCAATCAATAGATACAAGCAGAGAACTGTGCCATTTGCCCATAGCTTTCACTTGCACAAGTCACATCGCATGTATCACTTACACTATCAATTTGCAATATATTTCCGTTTTATTATTATTATCTTTTTTCATTTTGTCTGATATGCTACCTACTTTTATATTATAATAAAACACAAGAACAAATTTAGTCTTAAATATCGATCAATCAACAAAAAGAGAAAAAAAATAAGAAAAAAAATGTCCATAAAATTACCCATATTGTGAGTGTATGGTGAAGATTGAACTTGATCTGTTGTGAGTCCCTATCAACAATGAATTTGATGCACACAATTCAAATAGCAATAAGAATGGACACCCAAAGTCCAACCCCTTTATAACAGATGCCATGTCTAGACCATCAAGTTTCAATCAATCTTTCAGTTGCCAAGTTTTACTTTTCTGGAAACAAAACAAAGAAACCCTGTTTGAATTTTCATCCATGTATGCGAATTGACGAAACAATTGCCAAAAAATTACTCTGATTCTCCCAAGAAATGTAGAGGCTTTCAAGGTTGTAAATGTTCAATCCCATAACATGGCATCATTATACGCAAAGAGCCACCAATAAATAAAAGAAAGAACTGTTATTATTATTAAAGTTCAAGAAACTTACAGGTACATGGAGTCACTTTACCATACAAATGCCTATGCCAGTAAGAAACAATGGACCCCTGCTACAAGCCCAAAATCAACTACATTTCCACATCATTCAAGATCATTAGAACCCGAATCCCCACCCGTCTTCCGAGGATAATTACACAATCCAGACATAAGAAATGAAAATGAAGATTCTGAATCTTCGAATGGAGGTCGGGGGAACTCATGGAGTCCACTAAGATTACATGGGTCAAAGCTCAATGGTGAGAAAAAACTAGCAGGGTCATCAACACTACCTTTAATATCCAAAACATTCTGACCTCCAAATCCATTAAGAACGTTTGAACCAAAGTTGAGTCCTGTAAATTCAACTTTATTTGTTGCTTCATTATCTTCCCCTAGATCAGATGGCCCAGATGCTGATGCTTTAGTTTCGTCAAGGGAAATGGCAGGAGTGTGGCCCTGGAAAAGAGCGATATGTCCAAAAAGCTTGTCTTTTCTTGAGAAAGTTGTTCCACATGAACAAAGCCACTTATCCCTACCACAATGCTTCTCGTGTGTTTTAAGATCTGCAATAACTGAGAATTTCTTGGTATTGCACCTACTGCAAGTATAACTTTTGTCACAATGGGTCCTCTTGTAATGGTTTTTCACACACAAAATAGTCTTCAGAGGCTGAAACTTTTTATGATCTTTGTTTCGCTTGCAACCAGCATATGGGCAGGAATACCTCTTGATAAGCATTGGCTCGGAGCTAGATTCCTTATGGGGTTTTGCAAGTGCTGCCGGAGTTTTGTACTCATCCCCGTGCCCTCTCATGTGCATCCTTAAATTAGCATCTCTCTTGAATCCCTTCCCACATATCATACAGAAATGGGTATGAGGTGCAAGAATTTCTTCTTTCTCTAGTTGCAAGATTTCATAGGAACCAGGGGGAAGGTTTTCCCCTTCATCAGCATCTTCTTCGTCTTTTGACTCGTGATCTTCGATGCAGTTTTGTTCAATCTTGCAACTACCAGTTAGATCAACATGGTTGGACTGATCAGAAACTTTTCTTCCACCAATATTTTGTTGCACAGCACTGCCATTTAAATTTGGCCCAGAAGGAAATACGACTCCACCAAGCTGCCCAAACTGGGTGATCGAAGGATTTGTGTAGAGGGTTTGCTTCACAGATGGGAGAAGACTACCTGCAGTGGAAATTAGTTGAACAATAATCGAAGTGAGATCGGCAGTGATAAGCTGTTGTTGCTGAGACACAAGTTCATCAGAGCGAGTCACAACTTGGCCTCTCCGGCTAACAACCAGATGCACCAAATCCTGGAGTTGATGGATCTTTTGTTCGAGGAATGAGAGGTTGTTTAGCATCGCTCGTGGATCCCAATCTTGGATTCTACTAGAATCACACATTTCATTCATCTGAACGTCCTGCTGATCTGGGATCTCAGTTTGATTATTGGGATTGCAAGTAACTGAAGATGGGGCTTCAGAAGTTTGGTTGAATTCCGGGAATTGAGATTCAATAGTCATATCATAATCCTGATTTGAAGGATCTTCCCACTTCTGCTGATATTGCTGCAGATTGAAATTGGTGAAAGATTGGTGGTCGGGAGGGACTTTCTTCGGTAACTCATGGCAAGAAGAAGAAGATTTCGTCCATGTGTCCACAGATAGCTTCTCCTTCAGATCCATTTCCAATCCTCCTCCTTAAGTATACCTAAATCAAAGCTTAAAAGCTGCAAATATAGGAACAAGATAGAAGACACTTATCAGAAATGCAAGTGGACTAAATGAAAAAGGAATAAATATATATATATAGCTCATGTACAATTGAATTACGAAAGGATTAGAGTACACACCAACAAATTATCTTCAAATAAATCAGCAGTCACCACCACTAAAAAAATTAAAATTAAAAGGAAAAACGAAGATTCATGTCCGAGTTACTAGAAGAGGAAGAGAGGGAAAACCCAAATTATATTATCCATTGATAAATAAAAACTGCAGCCCTCGCTTTATCCCACAAGAAAACATTTCAGCTAACTACCAATGGTCTTTTAACCCAAAAGAGAAGAATGTCCAACATTTAGGTTCAAAGATGGATTTGCAATGAAAAAAATTTGAGATTAAACTTTATAAAAATATAAAATAATTGACTATTATAGATAGAATGATAAATTAGACAAGAAGACAGAGTAGATTAAAAGGAAAATAAAAAAATAAAAAATTTAGTATGATCTTTTACAACTACAACAGTTAGTGTGAAAGATTTCAAATAATTATTTTTCCACAGTTATTTCAAATTCATCATAATCCATGGTGCTAAAACTCTCAAATATTCAATTTCCAAGTCTATATCTAAACTATCAAATATTTAAATTTGAGAAATTCTCCTTAAATGATTAGTACCCAAAACCTTTCATTTCAATACTTAAATCCAATCACAACTTTTAAAATTTTAGAACCAAACCTTAATTCCGAAATTACACATAAAAATTTTAAAAAAAAAATAAAAAAAAATAAATTTTACAACGAAAGTCAATCTACGGAAAATCTAGCCACAAAGAGGGGGGGAAGTGTTTCGGGTTTGGGATAAGAAAAGTCTCTACTGAGAATCTTACTTCATCCTAAAAAATAATAAATCCCATCTTCCTTCAATATTAATGATATGATGACACAAGATCCCAAAATATCATTTCAAGATTGTCAAAACCACAAAATATATCTGATTGTCAATACACTTCTAGCTTCTTATGAAAACCAAAGATCTATATCTAGCTGAACTACCAAAATCAACCCATTTCATGATTGTTAAAAGTAGAAGCTATTTCAGCAAAAAAATAAAAATAAAAATAAAAAATTTGAAAAATCAGAAGATCATATAGCATGTGCTGAGCACCCACAATCAGAAACTAAGAAAATCAAGGGCTAACAAACAATTAGATTGAAACTGAAGAACTCACCGGATTCAGGATTGCACAGATGCCCTCTATCGGCTCTGAGTTTGCCTTTAGCATTTAGAGAGAGAGAGAGAGGAGAGGAGAGAGAGAGAGGAATGAAAAGAGAATAGAAAGCTGAAGTGAATCAATATATCAGCATCTCTGGCGGCATGCCAGCATCATTCGTCAAATCCACATAAAATCATCACCATCCATTTATTGGGACCCAATTGATCACATCTTAAAAACCAATAAATCATAACTGTTGATTACTGGGGTGAAAAAATTGACTTGATCTACTTCATCTTCGTTTCTGTCTGTAATAAGTAAACACAAGGCCCTGCTCTGCTAATGGACAGAAAGCTTGATGAGTGGAAGGACCCACCAACTGGATGATTCTCTTACCGACCCTTTTCTTTAATAATATATAGATTTTATTTTATTTTATTTTATTTTATTTATTATGTAATTAGGGTGTGAGATCAACTAATAATTGTGCTTAAAATATAAATTTTAATTTTAAATTTAAAATATATTTTTTATATTGTTTAAGTGATGAAAGTGTTTATTAAGTGGTGTTTGGGAACCTTTTTTTTTTTTTTGGTTTTTTTTTTGTTAAAAAAACACTAAAAAACAAAATTAGTTAAAAAATTAAAAAAATAAATCTAGACAAAATGTCACATAAAATCTATAATTATTTTACTTTTTCTGTTACAAACATCACATTCAACTAAAAAAATTAACTATCTTCCTAAATATAAAAATTTTAACCTCATAAAATAATCAAAAACTAAAAAAACTTACTAAAATAATAATTTTTTAAATATTCACTATGTCAATTAATGATTATAAGTTTAAATTTTGTGTTTCTCTTATACCTATTATTATTTTAATAATAGTATAGATAGTATAAATATATGTATGAATTGAATTGATGATGTTATTGATTGGTACAGTGAAGATGATTATATATAAATATATAAATAAATAGGTGAGGAATTAAAAAAATGATATGGGGCGGATGAACTGGGGGGTTTACCAGGCGGGTACGCCACCCCCACCGCCAGGCTGCTGCTGACCCAATTGTGACCATTTTGTGCGGCTGCTTCTAGGAAAGTAGGTCACAGATGACAGCTTGTGGTGTGGTAGTCAAACCCTTAAAATGTTAAAAAGGGCAAAGTTTATACACCCGCACGCGCGGTCAACCATCACTCCCTGGGTACAACCTAGAATTATGTTTTTCTGATAAAAAAAAAAAAAAAAAAAAACCTAGAATTATGTTTTAGGGTATGAGGTTCCCTTTAGCAGGTATACATTTTAGTTAAAAAAGTTAAAAAATTATTATAAGTTGTTATACTAATTTCTTTATTTTTTTTTTCCATATTTTTTATTGAAAAGTTAAAAAATTATCAAAATAGTTTGTTCCTAAACGAGATTTTAGTATTGGGGAAGGGGCAGTCTAGAGTTGGAATACCTGGATAGTCTGACTTATTTTGAACTCATTTATGATCCATCTTGATAATCTAAACCGTTCAGTGTGCAGAACTTGTTAAGTACTTTATCCATGTAAAAATTCATGTTGATAGAATATCAATAGCCACTTGATCATATCACATTCCTATCAATAATTTATTTTTAAAATCATAGTTCTTGTTGACACAAATTTGATCTGATCAAATGACTATTGATATTTGATCAACGTGATTTTTTTTTGTAAGAATGAAGTACTCGATGAGTCCTATATATTGAACAATTCAAATTATCAGTATAGGCTCTGTGGTGGGCCCACAGAAAACCCAACATCACACTCCAGTCCGATTTCGGACTAGAGAGAAGCCACTGCCATTAGCTTAACACCAGTCCTATGCACGGCTTAAAAAAAATAATATTATTTATTTATTTTTAAAATTAAATAGTAATAATTTTAAAATTTAGAGGAAAAAAATTAAAATTATGTAAATTAAGTTGTCTTCATTTAAAAATATTGAAGTGATGTTTTCATTAGGGGTGCTCACGAACCTATTCGATCTATCAAAATCGACCAACCCAACCCAATTCACCCACTTTGCAACGATTTTGATAGTATAGGCAAACAGATAAAGATGGAGATTTTTCAAATCTGTCTATATTCGGACGAACAGCAGATGAGAGGCCACTCGGCCCAATCCAATCTGCCAACTCCTTTAAGAAAATGATGTTATATTTTTATACTTTGTATGTTAAAAAAAATTATATTTTAATATTAACTATAGTGATCCCAGTTTCCCCCATCATGTATTGTATTTCGGACTCGAGTCTAGTGGTTGTTGTTTTTGTCTTATTCCTATTTCCATCCTTTAATTCCTTGTATTTGAGTTTTGGGATGTGTTGGGTAAGATTAGAACAGGTTTGGTGTGTGCTGGAACAAATGGTTGCTGTCCAGAATTTGGCATTTTTGCGCTCGAGCGAAGCCTTGGGTTTGTGCTTCTTCGCTCAAGTGAATGTTCTTGCGCTCGAGCGAATGTTCATTCACTCGAGCAAGCTTTCTTTGATGTGTCTCTTGGCTCGAGTGAGAACTCTTGCGCTCGAGCGTGCGTCTGCGTCTCTAAAAACCTGAAGGTTGGTATTCTTCGCTCGAGCGAGGCTTTTGTTGTTCGAGCGAGCGAGCTCTATGTTTTGTGTTTCTTCGCTCGAGCGAGAACTCTTGCGCTCGAACGTGCTTCTGCGTTGCAGACCTAAAGCTTTGCATTGTTCACTCGAGCGACGCTTCCTACGCTCGAGCGAGGTTCTTTTGTGTCTGGTCGCTCGAGCGACCACTTCTTCGCTCGAGCGAGGTTTGAATATATCAGTTGGCAACAGCGTGTTATATCTCACTTTTTCATTATCTTTTTCATCAAAACCCTAGATCCGACAGCCTCTCTCTCTACAAATACTCCACGTTCTAGGAGTTTTCTACCCTAATCCCTTTGTAAGAAAGTTAGAGCTTGGCTTGGGCTTCCCTTTGATCCGAAAATTTGTAGATTTGGAGCATCTTGGGTTTCACTCTTCTTCTCATTTGGGTTCTTAACTTTGAGGTAGGGATAATCTACTCCTTCTTATGAGTTTTGACATACATGTTGGTTATTTTGTATAGATGGTGGTGTTTGGGAGTTTTGAGTAAAGTTAGGGTTTGATTTGAAATAATAAAAAGATGAGTTTTTCTTATTTGGGCTTCACACGTGTCTATGAGACCTTGATAATGGGTTAATAGTATATTATGGGTGAAATTTGGCCTTGATTGCAAAATTTGAGACAAAGGGGAAGATTTTCCCTAATTGGAATAAAATAAGTGATTTAGTGAAAATGTGAAATTGGTTTGATAATTATGAAATTGGGAAGGTTAGTGATGTAATGGTGCAGTGGGATTGGTAAATCACTCGCCTATGGAAAAGTTAATAAATTATCTGTTTGACAAATTTATTTATTTGTTTAGAAATAACTATTTTGGGCTATCGGTGGAGGATAGTCATGATTGTTGTAGAACTACATGATGATTAGACAAATTGAAACTAATCAATTGGAATATGTCATTGAATATGACGGTTGGATTAACACATTGAACATGTGCCTTAATTGATCATTGTATATGATAAAGAGTTAAAATACATTGTATATGTATTTTTGTTTGGGAGGAGATAAGGGATGTACTCCACATATGTGCTTATATGCTTAAATACATTGTATATGTATCTTTGTTTGGGAGGAGATAGGGGATGTATTCCACATATGTGATTATATGCTTAAATACATTGTATATGCATCTTTGTTTGGGAGCAGTTATGGGATGTACTCCACATATGTGATTATATGCTTTAATATATTGTATATGTATCTTGCTTGGAAGGAGGTAGGGGATGTACTCCATTGTTTGGAAGGAGATAGGGGATGGACTTCATCGATAATTAAGTTGGTCAGAGTATCTAGGGTGAAAGTCCTGAAATCTTAGAAATGGAAGCGTATGGATGAAGTTAATGACTGAAGTGTTGATAATGGGGGTTGTAGTCTCACTTTGAAATGTTTAGATATCAATTAGCCACGTCAATGAGTTGTGTTGGATAAATAAGTGGAAATGGATTGAAATACAGAAGTGAATATTGATTTGTTGCGGAAATGATGTAAGCTGTTTTACAAGTGTTAAACATTTGTCAAATGTCAATGTTTTTGTTAATTCTCATACTTGGTTTAGCATATCTCTTCTGGGCTTTGACTCACCTTATTTGGGACACCATTTTTCAGGTACATGTGATATGCTGCCTCCAAGATCTTAGCTTGGGAGGTTTAGGAGTTGAAGACTCTGCTTTGTTATTTGTTTTGTTGATTACATGTAAATGCAAGCCAAGTGCTTTACTTGTGAAAGAGTTAGCCCTCTACTTTTGTAACCCAGTTAATACCTGAAAGGATGTATGCCCGTAGGGCATTTTATTATGTTGTAAACAGTTTGGAACTTATATGAAATACCCTTTTGTAATATTAATTCTGATGTATGTATGGGAATGTTGTTATCTTTCATGAATATAGAACTGTTAGATAATGGGATTGTGTATTATTTTAAGGGCGTTACATTAACTACTTATGAAATATGAAAGTTTGAGTTTTATTTGAAGTATAAAAATAAAGAATAAAAAATTTTGGACTTAAATAAGGCCTAAAATAGTAAAAAAATTACTCTAAAACAGTTTTTAAAGAGAAAATCATGGAGAGATCCCTCTGTATATTTGTGTAAGAGTTTAAGGACAACCACAATTTGTTTACTAATTAAAATCCTTAAGATTTGAAATTCTATGAAGATAAGGACAAATTTCAACATAAATATCAAGAATGCCATTTTAACAATTGGTACTATGAAATTCTAGCGCCTTCTCTTTTTAGTTTAGATAAGTTGTATTTTGAAATGTGTTTCAAAATTTCAAAATTTAGGTTGCATTTTGTTTAATTTTAGAATCATGATTTGAGAATGGAGTTATATTTTGAATTTGTAATTTGTTGAATCATGATTTGAAAAGAAAATGAATTTTGAAAAGAGTTTTGAATTAAATTTTGAATTTTGAGTTTTGAAAATGAGTTTTAAAAAGAGTTTTTAAAACTTAATTAAAAAATTTATAACTGATAACCAAATACACAATTCAAACTCTATTGAAAATTCTATTCAAAACTCATAATCAAATT